AGAGCAAAAGAGAAGTTCAGTCTTATTTTGAACGCATTTATATTATATATAAATTTGCTTCGACAACTCCTTTTCTACAACGTTTTCTCCGCATTGTAACGCTTTTAAGTGGATGCTGTTCTATTTAATTGTTCTTCTGACAAAACCCCGCTAGCTGTTGAGCGGTAAAATCGCTCAATAGAGATATTTCGAGCAATCCCTATTGAGAATCCTGACGAGCTGGCTGGTTGCATAGACGTTTTCGTGAGTTTCCCCCATGTGTAACGTGGGCAACGAGTTGTTTTTACTTGAAACTTATTCATGAAGGTATCCCTTCATATAGGCAGATAGCGTTCGCATGTTTCCACGTAATTCAATCAAATCTTATGCCAGGAAGCTTAAAAAAATTGGAGTTGATGGAAAGATTCTTACTTTCATAAAAAAGAAAAAAAAATAATCTTACTAAGACCAGTTTAAATTAAGGACAAATACTCTTTTATAAAGTTTTATTGACAATTTTTCATGCAAAATGTACCCTAAAAAGATTAGGAAAAGGAAGATGAGTAACTTCATGTGGTTACCTCGATTAAAGTGGCTTATTTAAATTTTAAATTATAAAATTCTTTTATATGTTATAACTAGCCTTAGTTTTCTACTCATTTTCAGTTTCTGAATGCTAAAGTTTCCTTCTTATTTTTTCAGAAAAAGATTATTAAGTAATTATAAAATATAAAAACAAAAACATTCCTCATATTGTGCTCACAAATAATTACCTAAATATGCATTAACAACTTTTAAAGCCTGGAAAATGCATGCCTGCTATGTTATTGTCATGCGATGATTTGTAGGTGCGTTATTTTTACAGCTATATTTTCAACGAAGATGGTTTTAAATTGTGAAGTTTATGAATGGCTTTATTTTCGACTACGATATTTCCGAACTGCGATGCTGTCTCCTTGCTTTGTTTTCTCCTACGGTTTTTGTACGACGTTTTCGTCTTGCATGGTTTTCTCTGCAACGTTTTCGTCCGCGATGTTTTCGCTTGTAACCAACATCTTGACTGTAATAATTTGTTACTTTATATAGCATCTATCTGCATAGCTGTTCCTTGCTTTCGTGCAAACCTTCATCACCCAGTACCATTTTAGGTACTTTCACAGAATATTCATGATTCTATTCTTCAGAAACCCGTACTAAATTAAAATCATCATTAATTTGACGATGGTCTTTGTCAGCTAAGTTAAAAGGGTTACATTTTGTTTGGAGGCTAAGTTAATAAGATTATATATATATTTCATAATAAATAAATCATATTTCCCAAAAGCATAAATTTTCAGTTGTATATAGCATGGGTGACCAAAACTTACGACGATAGGAGTCGCACGTTAGATTTCATAAAAGCTCGAGAGCCACAGCTGGATTCTCTAAGAGCCGAAAATCCATATTTATATCATCTCAAAACTTTTGAAATAATTAATGAGAATTTTTCTATGTAATTAATACCATTGCATAAAACTCGAAACTTTATTTCTCCTCTCGTGTTCATTTTTAAACATTTGTAACATTTCGTAAAATTTTAGAAATAAAGTCTCTTGAACGCAGCAATGTTTTGAAAATGTTTTTTTTCAAACCATTCAAGTTCCTAGTAGTTCCTTTTTCCTACACTTCGCAATGGAACTTTTCAATTAAGGTCAGAATGTTCTTGAACAATTTAACTGTCTACTTCACTCGCATTGTTTTATTATTGATTGAGAGAGGAATAACGGATAAAATCACCGTGTACCCTACATTCAACCGCCTTATAATTTTGAATGAATCTTTACATAGTGTGCAAATAACAATACAATTGAGCATTAATAATTGTTTAATAATTATGTTGAATGCTTCAGGGCCATAGCTGATTATCTCATGTTACGCGTTATTATGGATAATATGGACGACATGAGCTTCATCTTAAGACTAGTGCTGCAAGAGAGCTTCGAGGGTCAAGCGCAAACGCCATTCAAGTATAATCTGAATAAGTGGAAGCACTGCGTAGGATGGATCTCTTTGTACATGCCCTACGCTTTAGGGGTGGAATATGTGTCCAAATTCCTTCCTAAGCGGAAACTAAAAAAGGTTAGTATGTTTTAAATATTTTATAGCAGATGCATAAACGATCACAGAATTTTCCCATGTGAGTGATCTCAAATTTAAAATACATGCAGGCCAAATGCATGATCTGAAAACAGCTGACAGGGCAGAATTTCTTTTTAATAAAATAAAAAAATTATGAACAAAATAAAAAAGTATTTTAATGAAATTTTTAATTTCGCTGAGTAGATATTTATAAAAAACATGCAAAACAATAATAATAGCGCAAAAAGAAAAAAATTCAAATTTACATTTATTTTCTGTGTATTTATAAATCTAATGTTTGGGTACTTGAAAGTTATTTTTGTTGGTTTCACTTTGTGATTCAGGCATATTTTACAGCTAAATATCAATAGTTATAACTGACATTTAATTCAAATGTTTCTAACAGATTTAATTAGGTACTTTTCCATTTTATCGGCGCAGGCGATAAAGTTGCCAAAAATGGTACAACCGATGGCAAACGGAATATCCTCGCAGGTAACCTTTTACGTTTGATTTTCAAAACAAGTAGCAGCAATTTTTTTATCGGATTGATTTTTTCTTTCAAGAATGGCATAAAATTACATAGAAATTTTACTAGATACTTCAATTTTATGCCCTAAGTGATAGAAATTACTTTCAACGTGTTAGGCTTAGCTTCGTCGGCGCTGTAGATGTTGTTTCTTTTTCTTTCAGAAAAATCAAAATTTCTTTTTCGTTTCTGCTGAATAAACTTCTTTAGAGCATATCGTGCTGAAAACGTGATAGAAATTACTTAAATGGCAGATATACTTTGAAAATATAGTAGAAAGAAATAAGCAAGTTTAGTTATCCAAGTAAATAATAAACATGTAAACGTGTGCATTTGTGTGTTTTTTGCTTATTTCTTTCTACATATTTTCAAAAAATATCTGCCATTTAATTTCTATCACTAAGGCTTTCGCGGTAATTAAGGTTTTGATGCAATAACACTCACCAAACAAAGGCTGAAAGAAATATAAAAAATTGAGTCAGGGTTTTTTTTTTTTTTTTTTTTTTTTTTTTTTTTTTTTTTTTTTTTTAAATTCATTAAATTCATGAATTATAATGAGAATGCTCAAAACGAAGTAAAGCCTGCTCAGGTTTACATAATTTCTAAGTAAGTATTCGTACGAATGAAAATAATTCTTGCAATTTAAATAAATTGTATTCAAAAGATTTAATTTAAGTTTACTTGAAATTAATGTAGATAATTAGAATAGAGATTAATTTTTTTTGTAGCGTAGTTTATGTTAGAATGAGACACTTGGGGTCATGTGATATGAACCGTTGAATCAAGATGAATTAATGAAATCATAGTAAAAATTAAAATGCCTTTTTTAAAATTTAGTGTTTTTTACAAAAATTTTTACGGGGTTTCGAGGCGCGTAAAAATTCGCCAAACTATTGTTGATGCCAATGCTGCAAAAAATAATGCGGCAAAAAGGAGGGTATAATAGTAAATAACTATTTAAACGTTATGTGTTTAATTTAGATAAAGGTTTATAATAATTTCATATAATACATTTTTTTTATATTTATATGCCCTAAAAAAAAGGCTAAGCATGGCCAACTGCTAGCATAGATAACTATTTCAGATCATTTTATAATTTTATAAAAATTGCTTAAACATAACTGAATGGATGCCTGCCTGCTCGCTATTTCGCTCCGACTTTTCGCTAAGCAATTTCATTTCGTTGGTTGTTCAAACGTAATTTTCTATAAGGAATGATGCCTTTTCTTTGAAAATATTCTGTAACTTGGGTAAAAATGCAGAATCGGCTTCCATTATTTGTTTTTAACCGACAAGGGTTTAAAAATTAATTGGTAAAATAAAAAAAAACGTGGATGTTTCAATTTTTTACTTTTTAAGTGAAAATAGTCGATGTTTACATAGATAAAGTCAAGACTGTGCGGGGCAGTGTCATTTTTGTGCAAATTCTAGGATTTTTGTTTTAAAAAGGGAAAAATAGGCGTGTGCACATTGGATACCCGATTGAAAAAGTAATTTTTAATTCTTAAAAAAAAAATTTAAAAAACGCGCAACAAGAATAGGTGAGAATTGATTCTACACTTTACCCAAAATTCTATTGCCGACTTTTCGTCATGGGGGCAATCCCAAATGTAAAATCCATAGGATATCAAAAGGAATTTAAAATCAAAAAAAAAAGGATTTAAAAATTGCGTTTCAATGGCGTTCTGTAAGAAATATAGAAACTATTATAATAATTTTACGCAATCTGAAATCAAGCGCGTACGCTAGATTTGCGCGCGCTGTAAATTTTTTAAAATGGGCGCGTTGCTAGATTCGGCGCTTTTTTGCGCGTACATTTTCGCTGCATTTTTTTATCAAAATTAATATCGGCCCTCGAAACCGAATAGTACCAAAAATTTTATAAATGATATTAAAAATGTTTATGCTTTCAAAATATAAAAAATTCTTAGAACGTAACATTTTGTTATTTATGTTATATACTGTGTGTTGTTGTCGCCAATAAAGTCTGCTTGGCAGATTTACGCCGCGTAAGAATATTTTGTTTTTTTTTTTTTTTTGAAAATTTAGAAAAAATACGCAAGTGGTTTTGTTGACTCAAATATATGGCTGCGACTCTCATTACTTTTTAAAAAAATGGTTAAATTGTTTATTTTTTTTTAAAAAACAAAGTAATTTTTTTTTTTTTTTGCTTTACCGAAAAAAAAGCTTTAAGGTCAATTAAATGACTAAAAAATTTAATAAAATTAAGATAAATGATTATTATTAAAACTTTTAACTGGAAAAAACATTAATCTGAAAAATAATTATTAGATCTAGTCTCTTTCTCGTATTTATGAAATTTCCTTCGACAGAAGCATTAAAATAAATATATTTTTATGTAAATAATTATAATGTCCATGTACTGAGCGCCGCCTGAGATAACCACTGACCTGACTTTGTTGTAAAAGTCTTACAGTGTTAATAGTCATCCTGGCAGAAGGGAATATTTCCTCCGCGTAAAATTATAAATATTACATGGTCATACAAGCATAGATATGTTGATTACAAACATTGTCTTGTACAAGTTATATATGATAGTTACATAAAATCATGACAGCTATGTGTACATTTAAACATTATGTGAATTCATATTTACACTACCTTTACTGAGATAATCAAAGTAAACTTGTAATTCATTTACACATTGACTGGATTTTCAATATTATTTAAACTGCTTTACAATATTATTTTTATCAAGTACATACAAACTGGATAGTCCATGTACTGGAACAAAATGCTAGAAATTAATATCATCGCGGGCTGTAGATGCTCATTAGACAAAATTGAGTTCTTTTCTTATTAATTTTCAACTGAGAAGAAAAGATTGTTCACAAATAAAAATATTCTCAAAGAAAGCAGTTAAATGGACAAAAGTGCGAACTAAAGTTAATCAAATCTATATATTTAAATCTTTGATATAAGGTTTATATGACACTGTAAATCAATTAGCTCGATCTGTAAATTTTCTGGTGAGTTACTCATGTTACGTTTTAATGGTAAAGAAAATAATTGAAATCGGATTTCAAATAAGTAAATTCTTGAAATTTTTGCAACACCGTATTTGCAACAAATGCATAATTCAAACGTATTCGCAGGCCGTCAATTTGTCAAAGTAAAACCGTTTCTTGAGTTGTTCAAAAGTTAAAACAGTCTACGTACATAAACTACAGAAAACCCACGTACCATAACTTTTGACCGTGCCAGAACAGAAACTCTCTATTAAAATTCTATCTGTTAATTTGAGTTTGCATCAAACAGCCTAATTTGTGCTTAACAGATGTTCGAGATGGGTCATGGCTAGCATGAGAATAAAGAACTTGTAAACTATTAATTAAACAGTAACTAAGAACTTACTTGAGCTTTAACATATATTATGGCTGGAAAAAATCATTGTCCCAAATCTTAAAGGGTTGCTAACTTTCGAACAAAAAGACTATCTGACTCAAAGACTCAACAGTTTAAAATTTTAACTGCCCAATTAACTGGACACCTAGACAAATTTCAATTTTCATTTACTCAAATTCTCAATTCATAGTAACAATCATCTCAAGAGCAACCTCCAAAAATCGAACATTTTTTTCCGATGCAGCAACTAATTTTATTATGTTTCGATCAAATCTAGACAGTAAGTCAGTTTTCATTAGAAGAACCTCTACAAAACTATCCCTTACCTTAGAAAGATAGTTTTCCCTATGATTTGTCAAAATAAATCTATCTCTTATATATAAAGAAGAAAGTATGTTTGTTTGTCCTCTAATAATTCAGTCACTACTATAGCTATTGTCACCAAACTTTCTACAATTCTTTCCTGGGTCCTGGAATTGGTCGACGTCCACTTTCTTAAAAATAAATAAATAATTAATGAAATAAAATCAAGATATTAATAAAAAAAAAAAAAAAAAAAAAAAAAAAAAAAAAACAAAAAAAAAAAAAAAAAAAAAAAAAAAAAAAAAACAAAAAAAAAAAAAAAAAAAAAAAAAAAAAAAAAAAAAAAAAAAAAAAAAAAAAAAAAAAAAAAAAGGAAAAAAAAAAAAAAAAAAAAAAAAAAAAAAAAAAAAAAAAAAAAAAAAAAAAAAACAATAATTTTTGCCCCATTTTTCCGAGTGGCAACAGTCTCGCAAGCTGGAGACGAAAATCTGCTTTATTTCGAAAATTGTTGCCACTGCTTGTTTCCAAATCCTAGAGTTTGTTAATAAAAAATTTCTAAGTTTTACGATGAAATAAAAATAGCATTGCCAAACATTAAATACATTAGTCCCGATTCCAAAAATTCGTGGGAAGCCATTTCGGCTATTCCCATCTTCCTAAGACTTTAATCAACCGAAATATTAATTAAAAACTGTGAAAGCGCTAATTTTCGCACTCATTTTTCCGAGTGGCAACAGTGTCACGCATTGGAGATAAAAATGCTTTATTTCGAAAAGTGTTGCTATTGCTCGCTTTTAAATCG